TTAGGGCATTGACATACAATTTGACGAGCTTATTCTCTGGTAATATTAAATTTTTTTATGTAAGCTAGAAGCATTTTGATGATGCAAGGAATGGGAAGCTTGTGCACAATCATATGAAGACATCTGTTGACAAATAGCTACTAATTTATCAATCTTGTCATTACCTGAAACTAAAGGTCGTGGAAGATTAGTGTGAGCCCGTATGTGTCCTATGAAACATGGGTATTTTCTCATTAGCACTGCCTTCTGTAAATTATGAATAATTCAAATAACTCTTGTGATGAAGTATACACAATAACTGAAGTTTCAATATTTTTGGTAACTCCGACTACATATAAGCTGTCAGAATAAATATTAATAGGCTCATTTGCAAAGTAATTTAAGGCACAAATCAGAGCTTGAAGCTCTGCTCTTTGGGCAGAAGTATATGAAGTTTGCATTACCTCTGTGTGAACACGGCTATAAAAACCTGCTTTACCTGAGCTTGAACCATCAGTGAACACCGATAAAGCTTCATCTATAGGGTGGGCACACACAATCTTTGGAAAAATAAGTGATGTTAATGATGCAAATTGAATAATTTTATCATGAGGGTAATGAATATCTATCTATCTGGCCAGGAAAATCAACAAAAGCTATCTGCCATATGCTAGAAGTTTGAAAAAGCCAATTATTCTGTTGAACAGAAAATGGAATAATTATGATATCAGGCTCAGATCCAATTAATTGTAAAATCCTTGTTCTACCTTTAATGACTAATTGAGCAATACAGTCATGAAAAGGAATCAATATTTTTTGAGGGGAGTGGGCTAAATCAATCCACTCAGTAACTCCTAATCTTTGCCATATGGCTCCTGTTAGGGTATGCTCAGTTGGAAATATTAATAAATACACTATTTCCTTAGGATCAACTCTAGTAAGTTGTGCATTTTTAATTGCATTTTCAACCCTTTTTAAAGCTGCTCTAGCCTCTACGGTCAGCTGACATGGAGAGATTGGAGAAGGATTTCCTTGTAAAATCTGAAATAAAGGACTTTACTCAGAAGTAGTTAATTTTAAGGATGGCCTCAGCCAATTAATATCTCCCAAATGATTTTTGTACAGAAACTGTTCTGCTCTGGTAAAATAAAAATGGCAGCCCCCATGGTTGGTGCGATGACGTCAATTTGTGCGACCATCATCTACTTTCTCATTCTCGGCCCGGGGAGGGCTGACCAGAAGTTTTTTGTTCTCCCGCTAGGAGGAAATGACGGCGAGAAGGTGGGCTGATCCGCACCATCTTGATCTGCCACGTGGGGTTGAGTCCTGGAATATCTATTATCAACAGTAGATGGAGCCTTGAACTTAAAATTAGGAGTGTGACATTCTTGCACAAAATGGCCATCTCTGCCACAGAGATAACATCTCCCACGGGGTTTTTGTACCAATTCCTGTGGTTGTAAGGTTTGCTTTAGGGCCATGGCTAGCATTACTGACTGCAAATGGGTGGAATCAATCTCAGAACACAAGCGGATAAACTCAGAAACTGCTCCTTTTTTCTGATGGGGTCTGAGAACATCCTGACAATATTTATTCACATTTTCAAATGCCAATTGCTTAACAATAAACTCGCAAGCTCCTGAGTCTCCAATAGACCAATTTGCTGTCTGGTATAAACGTGCTACAAAATCAGAATAAGGCTCACTGGCACCTTGCTTGACTCTGGTAACAACTAAATTGGACTAGTCCTTGGAAACTATTTGTTTCCAGGCACGTTTAGCACAGTTAGTTATCTGATCATAACACCGAAAATTCATAATTTAACTGTCTTTCCAAACCAGCAAATTCACCTGTTCCTAAAAACATTTCTACTGGGGTCTGCAAATTTTGTCTTCTATTCTTTTCTGCTTGCTCAGTACAAAAATCAGCCCAATAAGACCGCCAAAGCAAAATGCCTCCGCCACTCAAACAAGATCTGGCTAATGAAACCCAATCACCACTATACCACCAACGCAAATTAAAATCAAGATATTACTTATTTACCATATATTTTGCAAATATTTCCCCAGTTCAAATGCTATACCCTGTATTTTAACTTTCTTACATATCTTTTAAAGAAGTTTTTAATTTTGATAAATCCCTAGCTTATTGTAATTTTTATATTCTTTATTTAGAAAAGTCTTTGTCTAGCCCACATTCAGAGTATTTCTCATATGTCATCTTCAATGAGATGGATATTTTAAATCTTTAATATTTATGATTCATTTTAAGTTAATTAGTAAACGATTCAGGTGTTGAGGTTTTTTGTTACTTTATTTTTTGTGTGGATGTTGAAATTTGGGGGAGTGGGTGCTGGGGGTTGAACCTAAGGTCCTTAACCACTGAACCGCATCCCCTTCCCTTTTTTATATTTTATTTAGAGACAGGATCTCACTGAGTTGCTTAGGGCCTTGCAAGGTCACCCCTGGCTAATTTTGAACTTGTGATCCTTCTGCCTCAGCCTCCCATGCAACTGGGATTACAGGTGTGTGCCATTGCTCCCAGAAGATGTTGTAATTTTTTCAGAGTAATTTATTGAAAACTTTTAGTTGAAACTAAAAATATGTTGAAAATAAACTGACAATACATGTGTAGAGGCTATTTCTTTCTCTCTCCTTTTCTGTCTCTAACCTTTCAATACTATTTCAATACTTCCAATACTAATCAATACTATGCTTTTGATTGGTATGGCACTATAAGCATTCTTAAAAATCAGACAGAATCTCTCAAATTTGTTGTTCTTTCCATAATTTATTAAGGATTCTTTTAGGTCCTTTGAATTTCCATGTGGATTTTAGAATTGGTTTATTGATTTATTTTAAAAAAGGAAAAAGAAAAAAAAAACTTAAGTCTCCAGTCCCCCTGCACTGATTGTGTGAGCCAGTAGAAAATCAGGGAGGATGGTAACTCATGGTATTGAGTCGATGGCACTCTGACAAACTAAGGCCACAGGTTCAATGGCTCCCTCTCCACAAAATTGCACTCACTTCAGATGTCAGCTGGGAGTTTCTAGGCCCAACTGTACTTCTGGGTCAACAGCTGTAATTTGGGGAATTTCCATGACCCCCTTAAATTTGATAACTTTGATAGAATGACTTATAGAACTCACTAAAAGTGCTATTCTCTATTTATGATTCCAATTTTGTTTTAAAGGACAAAATGCAGAAATAGCCAAATGGAAAAGACACATAGGGCAAGGTCTGGGATGGTCCCAGATGTGGAGACTCCGTGGCGGCCTCTCCCTATGGATTCAGGGTATGTCACAGCCTGGTTTACCGATACACTCAGCGCCCACAACACGCAACCAAGCCTTCCTGTCCAGAATTGACTGGGCCTCATTTATGGTCAAGATTAGTTAAATCATAACCACATGACTGACCTCAGTCTCTTCTGGGCCCTCTTCCCTCCCCAAAGATCAGTCTGGTGCAGTTTCAACCCTCTAATCACATGGTTGGCTTTTCTGGTGACCAGCCTCCATTCTTGTATTATGGGAGCCCACCATAAATCACCTCATTAGCATAAGACAAACCTCTGGAAGAGTCCTAAAAGTTTTGAAACCCTGAACCAAAAAGAACCAGATATATTTCTTATCACACTTTACTTTCTATTTAACATATGTTAAGATTTCCAATTGTTAAACCAACCTTACAGTTTACATGTGTACACATATACACCAATTTAATTTACTGAAAATCTTTTTAAGAATTTTGTTGGCTTTTTTTTGGCATCTACTTTCTTGTAGTGGCCTTTAGTTTTCTTTTAATATCATTAACTGGTTTTGTTATCCATGTAATAATTACTTCACAACATATTTGGAATGTATTCTATCCTTATTTCTTGGAAGAGTTTAATAGAATACAAATTATTTCTTCATGAAGTGTTTTGTAGAATCCATTAGTGAAGCCATCTTGAAGTTTTTGATGGGGAGACTTACATTTACACATAGATTAGCTTTGCCTATTATCTGGAAATATCAATCAAGTATCTAGCAGAGGAGTTTTTCAGATTATCTATTTGTTTCTGAGTGAACCTGGTCATTGGTATTTTTCAATCAATTAAAAAAATTATAGTTGTAGATGAACATAGCATGCCTTTGTTTATTTTGTATGCAGTTTTAAGGGTCCAACTAAGTGCCTTACATGTGCTAGGCAAGCACTCTGCCACTGAGCCCCAGCCCCTCGATCAATTTTTGTTCTCTTATTTTCAGTTTACTGAGGAAGAATTGCTTAGACACATGTTATCCATTTATTTTTTATTTTAAAACAGGGTCTCACTGAGTTCAGGCCTCAATAAGTTGCAGGGCTGGCTTTGAACTTGCAATTCTTCTGCCTTAGCCTCCCGAACCACTGGGATTACAGGCATGCACCTCTGTACGGGCTGCCCCAGGTTACTGTGAAAATCAATTCTAGGTTCTAGTGCTAGGATGGAAAGCCCAGGCAGAGACCCAAACTCACTATAAACTTGTCAGAAGCTGGCATCTGGGCTTGCCAAGGTAGAGAGAACACAGAACAAGAAACCAGAGATGCACACAAGGCCATTTCCAAATATTCAGCTAAGTACAGATCTGAATATGCATGTAATACCCCACAGAGGACAGCCAAAGAGCCAACAGAAAGTATCAGATCAGCAGAAAGGATCCTCTTAAGGCTTGGAAACCAGAGAACTCCTGTTCCAACCAGTTTGAATGGAAATGTTCAAAATTATTCATGAGGCATCAGGAAATAAAATTCTTCTGCCTTATTAGATGGGGAATAAGAATGCTTGGAATCAAGGCCTTAAAAGATCATATTGTTTCCAAGTAACTTAATGTAACAGGAAAAAAAAAAAGAGATATACAAAAGTTTTCAATACCCAAAGAGGCAAAATTGAGTGTTCAATCAAAATTATACCATGTTAATTGTATCACATCAAACAAGGTAGATTTTAGGGCAAAGAATACTGCCATAGATAAGGAGGGTCGCAATGATAAAGAAGATAACTCATTAAGTGGACATAGCAATAGGAAATATTTATTCACCAAATAAAACAGCATCAAAATACATGAAGAAAAAAAATGATAGAACTGCACAAATAGGTAAATCTACTTTTACATTCAAATATATAAACAACTATTTTCAAATAATTGATATAAACAATTCCCAAACACAGAAAATCAGGATACAGAAAACTTAGACAATCTTATTAGCTTCTTGACCTTTGACACTTACAGAACCCTTCACCTAACAATAGTACAATACACAGACATGTCAGGTGAACCTGCAAATCTTACAGATAGCCATATTCTGGGCAATAAAGAAAGTTTCAATAAATGCAAATGATTCAAGTCATAAGGTATGTGCTCTAAAATGGAATTAAATTATAAATTACCAGAAAAAACAAAGAAAAACATGAAATATTTGGAAACTAAATAATACATTTCTAAAAAGAGCCATATGTCAAAGTAGGCATTTACAAAGAAATTTTAAAAGATTTTAAACTTAATTAAAATAAAAACACAATATATTAAGTTTCATGGGAGGGAAATAAAATAGTCCTTATGGGACAATGCTACTGCACCTATGTTAGTTAAAAAAAAAAAAAAAAAAAAGCCAAGGGTGTCAAATGAAGGACCCCTTTCATATTAAAAAGTAGCAAAAAAGAAATGAGATCTAATAAAAGCTGAAGGTAATAATAAGGGTCAGACTGAAAGAGAAAAAAGAAAAAGAAAATAGAGAAATTAATGAATCCATGTGCCTTAAGATCATAAAATTGATAAATCTCTATCAAAACTGATCAGAAATAAAACATTCTGTTCAGACAACATCAGCATCACGACATGACTACATGTAGCATGACTACAGATTCTAGATACTGCTAGTAATAAGGGAATTTTGAACATTTTGACTACTTAAATAAAATTAACAAACTACTCCTTGCAAGATATAATCCATCAAAACTTGTTCTTGACAGAGAAAGAAAGAGGAAGAAGAGGAGGAAGAGGAGGAAAATAAAACTACTATGAAATTAATCTTGTAGTTAAAACTTTCACACAAAACAAATTCCAGGCCCAGACAGCTTCGTTGGTGAACTCTACCAAAAACTTAAGGAAGAAATATCAATTTCACAAACTGTTTTGGATAATTAACTAGCAATTGTTTTGGTTAATTAACTAGCTCCCAAATTATTCTGTAAAGCCAACATTTTGCTGGAACCAAAGCCAAGCCCAAGCATTAAAGAAAGTTAGAAACTAACATCTCTCACAACTGTAAATACAATAAAATAAAATACCTAAACAAATCCACCAATATATAAAGAATAATACATCACTACCAAAAGGGTTTTTTTCCTAGAAATGCAAGGTTGGCATTACACTGAAAAATCAGTCAATTAAATTCACCATTAAAAGACTAAAAATGTAGAGAGGGCTGGGGCTCAGCAGTAGCACACTTGTCTGGCATGTGTGAGGCACTGGGTTTGATTCTCAGCACCACATATAAAATAAATAAAATAAAGGTCTATCAACAACTAAAAAACATATTTAAAAGACTAAAAATGTAAAATGAAAACAAAGCACAGATTGCAGTCACCAATATCCTAGGAATACCATCCCCGTACACACACACACACAAATCCCTACCTCCTTGTATTTACTCTGTCATGTAGTCCCTTCCACCTTTACCAGGACTAGTCATTGCTACCTACAGAATGTGTTATAATCACGTGTTACAACCTGCACCTCTAAAATGGAATTAAATTATAAATCAATAATGAGTCAGACACTGCAATTTGGGTCCTGGGTGAGTCTCTCCAAATGACTTGCTTTGGAAATATTTCTCCATATTGGAATACACTCACAGTATAAAAGAAAAAAAAATAAATCTCTAATAACACAAGACAATATGGATGAACACAAATAATCAGAATTAAAGAAGTCAGATACATCAGAGGACATATTGCATTAGTTCACATATATAAAATCTAGGAAATGCAAACAAACCTACAGTGACAGTAGATCAAGGATCGCCTGAGGAAAGGACAGGGAGAGAAATTATAAAGGGAATCAAGAAACTTTTGACTGCCCAGGTGCAAATATGTATCAAAACTTATGAGACTGGGGGGCTGGGGTTGTAGCTCAGTGGTAGAGGGCTTGTCTAGCATGTGTGAGGCACTGGGTTCAATTCTCAGCACCACATATAAATAAAATTCTATTAACAACTAAAAAAACTTATATATATGAGACTGCACACTATAATTATGCCCCATTTGTCGAAGAAAATATTTAGAATGATATCTCTGAGAGTGACCTTAGCCTCAAGAGACAAAGGTGTGGGAGTCTTAAGAATTTCCGCAAACCCTCATAAAGCCAAAATGATGGAAACATTTGTGGAGATACTTTTATCTATCTATCAATTTATTTTTGAGATGGGGATCCCATCATGCAACCCAAGCTTATCTTGAAATCTGAGTTCAAGTGATCCTCCTGCCTCAGCCTTCTGGGTAGCTGGGACTACAGGTATGGCACCACACCTGCTACTATGGATAGTTTCTATCCCCATAGTCTGCTGCCCTCTCCTAACTCCCTGTACCAACTGTGATCACACCTTTTCCTTCTATGAAACACCAGAGGTATCTGTTTTACAAATGACATATTTCAGGTCCAAAGGGTCAAGTTCTCTGCAAAAGGGCTGAGAAATATGAAATGTCCTTTGAGAACAAGGGATCCAATTCAAGATGCTCCCAGACACAACAGAGATTGTCAAAATTCCCACTGCTTAGGGTAACTTTGGTCACATAAATACTCTTGGCATATAGATCCCAAGATCGGATCTGCAAAGATCAGTATTCTTTCCTAGGAGAGTGCAAGCAGCAATACATGTGAGGCCAACACTAGATTGAGGGCTATTCTTTGCCATCCTCCTAGCATCCGAGACACCAACAGCTAGGGCTCTCACAAAATGTCTTCATCCCTTCATGCCAGTGGAATCTAATTCTGCTTCCAGACCAATCCACAAGTGAATCCCCAAGATTAAATATGATGCAGAAATTAAGACATCTGTTGCCAAGCCAGAACAATACGAGGCAGGCAATTTCAGTTTAAGTGTCTGAGAAGCTAGACCAATCCATCACAGATGCCACCTGAGACCAACCATGTCCGTGTAGAAGGGAAACCTGTGCTGGCAATCAGCAGAATCCTACTGGTCCAAACCTGACCCAATCCAGGCTTAATCTAGTCAGGGGAGGGGCAGGAGAGAGTGAGAGTGCTCCACAGCCTTGGGCTACTCATGATCCCATGAAGGGACACAGAGGTGTGGCTCTCACAGTACATTGGAGTGCACAATACAAGGCTCTAGTGCCAAAACAGTGCCTCCTCTCAGAGGCAATGCCAGAGATACAGTTCTGGCAAGGGTCCTGCGCAAAAAGAAAATGCAAAAAGCCCCAGAAAGCTTCCAACACAGCTGGCATTCAGGATTTCCCCAGGATGGATGTTTGAATGTCTGGGGCTCAACCTCTGGCTGAGGGCTATGCACAAGGGCTGCTTCCTAATCTGTTCTCAAGTACCAGTCATGCTGAACAAAAACATGGCTGCAGCTACAAATTAAGGCCTTGCTCCAGTGTGGACTTTCCAGTGGCGAATAAGAGAAGCCCTTTGCCTGAAGGCCTTCTCACACTCACTGCATTTATATGGCCTTTCCCCAGTGTGAATCCTATGGTGCTGAACAAGTACATGTTTGTGACTAAAGGCTTTTCCACATTCATTGCACACGTATGGCTTTTCACCATTGTGAACCCTTTGGTGAGCAATAAGATCGGAGCTTTGGCTAAAGAACTTTCCACATGCAATGCACTCATAAGGCCTTGCTCCAGTGTGAACACTCCAATGTTTAATGAGCCTATACTTGTGACCAAAGTATTTTCCACATTCACTGCATTCATAAGGCCTTTCTCCAGTGTGTACGCTCTCATGCTGAACAAGTGTGGACTTGTGGCTATAGGCTTTCCCACATTCACTGCATTTGTAAGGCCTCGCTCCAGTGTGGACTCTCTGGTGGACAATAAGGTTAGAGCTATGATTGAAAACCTTTCCACATATGCCACATTCATAAGGCATTTCTCCAGTGTGAATTCTCTGATGCTGAGCAAGTATGGGTTTGCGGCTGAAGGTTTTCCCACATTCACCACATGCATAAGGTCTTTCTCCAGTGTGGACTCTCTGGTGCTGAACAAGTGAGTCTTTGCGGCTGAAGGCTTTCCCACATTCACTGCATGTGTAATGCCTCTGTCCAGCAGGAATGGTCTCCTCATACCTGGTATTACCATGTGGATCCCACTCACTGTGAGGGTAATGGTGCGGGAAAATGCTTGAGCTGCCTGGGGAGTCTTTACAACTCTTCCTTGTCACAGAAAGCATCTCTGAGGGTTGGACAGGACAGTGGTTCACAAGAAAGGTATTGCCCTTGTCCCTTCTAGTGGGTTTCTCTTCACTGGGCTGCTTGTGGTGCTGGTGAAGGTTTGCCGTGAACCAGAACTGTTTCCCACATGCCATGCACATGTATGGTTTCTGCCCAGGGTGTGTGTCCTGGTGCTTGGCCATGTGTGAAATATCTTTCAAGAGCTGACCACACATCTCACAGAGGTGGGACTCCTGAGTAGAAAAGCCTCCCTTGGGAGTCCTGGTCTGTGATACTCCTTCTGTAAAAATGCTCTGCTTAGGTGCCTCCTCATCCCGTACTCCATGCCAACAGCCTAAAAGCAGAGAAATGCTGGTGAAGTACAAATTGACAAGTATTAGGAGTACCCTCATTACAAATGTGCATCAACGACAACTAAGATCATAAATCACAGGAGGTCAGGACAACAGGCCTGAAATTAGGTTCAGTAGCTGGTATCTGAAGATCATGGAATGGAGGAAGCCTTCATGGGAGAAGACACAAATGTGAGGTACAGCACAGGAAGATGATGTAGGGTCCCTAATTAAGTCTTTTACAATCAAATTTCCTTGGCTTCTTGGGACAGGTGAGAGTTGCATAGAAGGATCATGTTCATGCTCAAGACAATCAAAGTGCTACTGGGTATCTGTTGTTTAAGGACCATGCAGGGCATGTTCACTGAGATCAGGCTAATGTTGACGAGTATTGTGGAGGAAGCAATGGAGAGGAACAGCTGAGATGCAGAGGCAGAGACATGAAATGGCTAGAGACCAAAGATCAGAGAGTAAGACAAATGTGTAAATAGGAAAGTAGACAGAATTGAAGTATGGCCAGTGACCTTGGCACTAAAACAATTGTGGGCATAGAGAGGTTATGGAATGATTTAAACTCAGCCCTGACATCATAGATAAGTTCCCCAGCTTCCCCTCTCCAGGGTCACACTTACCTAGAATCTCTCTGGCAATGGCTGGAATTATGTCCACCCAGTCAGGTTGCCAGGGCTCACTGCCCAGCTCCAGTGAAGCAACTCTATGAAACATGGATGATGCATGTCCTAAGGGTAAGATAGGACAGATAAATGGCCATCACTGGTCTAGGTGACCCACCCTACAGAGAAGAAAAGTAAATATTATAAAATAATTTCACAGTGGGGTCAACCCAGTGGTAGTAGCAAGTAATAACCATACTGGTCATTGCAATTCCAGGCACTAGCCACAGGAAATGTCAGCTACAGGAAGGGGGCAAAATCTGAGGCACAGAGATGTCAGGGAGAAGACAAGATGGATATATTCCACTGGCTGACTATAGGACACAGGGCTCCTGGCTTTATCTCTGCAATCCTTTGGGATGGCAGGTTCTGGGACTCCTGAAAAGCAGGAGGCAGAAATGCACACAACCCAGGTCCAGCATCCACAGCACCAACTCCAGGGAACTGGGAAGGAGGTATTACACATGGCTGCAATGTAAGAAGGACATGGCTGCCCTGGGGAACAAGGAAAGGGAAGAGTCCAGTTCAGGACACTGGGGCGGGTATAAGGGCCTTACCCAGGGAGGCCATAAGAGCAAAGTTCTCCAGCATCACATCACGGTACAGGTGCCTCTGAGCCTCATCAAGGAGTTCCCACTCTGCCTGGGAGAAGTACAGGAACACATCCTCAAAGTTCACCTGCCCCTGCCACGATGGGGAGAGCCAAGTCCATGAAGTGCCTCTCTTCCAGGGGGCCCATTCCTGTCCTTACCGCACCCTCCCCCCACAGGAAACACCGGAACCAGGTGCCACTAGTGTCTTCCTCCTCATGATCCCATCAATCACCGAGCCTACCACAGCCCAGGCGATTGGGCTCTAGGCTTCACATACAGGGTCCACCTTCTGTCAGCCGATTCCCGTTGGGCCTGGACCAAGTGTCCTGCACGACCCCACCGTCCCGGGGACCACACGGTGAAGGGGGCTTAGGACAGCATCCCCACCGGGTAGGTCCCATAATTCTTCCAGGTTTATAATACCCGACGGAAGAGGGAAACCGTGAGAGGCAGGAAATCCCAAAAGAGCCCCGAGGGTCTGCCTGCCCCCTTCTGCCCACAGAGCGAGGGGGCTTCTGCTCTGCCCCTCCGCTGCCACCCCGAACAGGCGCGCGGCCGCCCACCGGGCTCCCCTGGCCTTGCTCTCCGCCATCGCCATCTGCTCTTCCTGAACGGACCCGCCCTAACCCTCGGAGCGCCTCGCCTGTGGGAGCCTCCCCGGGCTCCCCCAGCCCCACGCCCGCGCGCGCCGCTCCCTCCGCTGCGAGTCCCGTCGGCAGGGGCCCAGCCGAGCGCTCCTCGCCCCGCACCTCCGAGCCTGGGCTGCGGCGGTCCCCAAGGGGGGCTTCAGATGCGGGGTCGGGGCGAGCCGGGGATGCACCCACCTGCGCCGCGTCCATCTGCGCCGCCATCGGGCCGGGGACTGGCCGGGTGACTAGGCGGCGCCACCGCGGAGCCCGCGGCCCGCTCCGTTCAGGGGAGACAATGCCTCGGCTCCCGACTTCCCTTCCTGTCACCACGGGCTTGACATAGCGTTCCTGAGACTGACCGCCTAGTCAAAAAGCAAACAAGATGTCTCCCGTGAAGGGAGCAGGAACTTCCGCCTAACCACTTCCGCCAGAGCGGAAACGCCCCGTCCCCCCGCCTGAATGAACCGGAGCTCCTGAGGCTTCTGGGTAGTGTAGTTCTCCTGGCTCCAGAGGAAGCTCGCGCCAAGGGCCAAACCTTCAGAGTAGGAGCCCAGCTGTGCCAACAGCGGGGCCTGGAATGGGCGTCGGGAGGCTGTGTACTAGGCTGAGCTTTGCTTTTTCTGAAGAGCTGTTTCTGTTTTTGATGAGTGTAGTCTGTAACACATCACAGAAATACTTACCATTTCAGCCTCCTTATGCAGAAAATCCGCATCTTAAAAATATAAAAATGGACATACTCTGTTTTAGTCTGCTTTTTCACTGCTGTGACTAAAGAACCGGATGAGAACAACTATAGAAGGAGAAAAGTTTATTTGAGGGCTCAAAGTTTCAGAGGTCTTAGTCCATTAAAGGCCCATTCTTCAGGGCTGGAGTGAGGAAGAAAATGATGGTGGAAAATCATGGCAGAGGGAAGCAGCTCCACCTGCCAGATACAAATATATGCCAGAAAGCCACGCCTGAATTCCCACCTCCTCTAGTCACACCCTACCACTTCACTTAATCCCTAGCAGGAGATTAATTCACTGATTAGGCTAAGGCTATAACCCAATTAGGTCTTCTCCAAACCTTCTTGCATTGTCTCACACGTGAGCTTTGGGGGATACCACATCTAAACCATAACACACTATCTGTGCTAATATCATTCAGACTTCTGCAGCTGGAAGCTATTAAATGTTATAGTGTTTTCTAATACATTTAACCTAAAGCTCTAGACCTAGTTTTCAGAGCCTCAACGTTTTGGATTAGGACAAGACAGACAAGACTCCAGACACGGCACATGAAACATGGAATAGGAATGTTTGAAGGCCCCAAAGATGTAGCTAACTCTTGTTCTGTGGTTACCTCATGCAGGTGGCCTTGGGCTCAATTCCTTTACCTGAGATCTTCATTCTTTCTGTTGTTTTCTCATTTTCATACTTTTCCAGCTGTAGAAGTGTGAATGACATAAATTCCTGGACTGTGGATGTAGCTCAGTACCACAAACACAAAATATATTTCTCCTGTGTATAGTAAGTGATGGGTCAGACATAATAACACACTTTTTAAGATATATTTTATACTCCATACATTGGAATCTATTCAATCACTTTGAGTATTTAACAAGTATATAAAAAGATGGACAATTTACCAATGGTCATTCAATAATGAAAAGACAACATGAAAAATTTATGTGCAGAAGAAATAATCAGCAAATCAAATTTCTATACATAGGAAATGTTTTTAATAAAAGTATGGTATAAGGCTATTTGAGGCCAAAAATAATAAATGTAATGGAATTACATTTACAAAGAAAATAAATTTCTGAATATAATGTGAGATACCAAAGAATGTACATTGTAGCAAGAAAATCTTAAATCTGTGGGAATGAGGAGTAAGGAATAGCATCACTGTTGGTGGTTGGTAATCTTTAATTACTTGGTCCTACTGGAGCATTAGAATAGCACAGGGTCACCAAGACAATGGGGGGCTGTGGCTGTGGCTCAGCAGTAGAGCACTTGCCTAGCATGTGCAGGCACTGGGTTCAATCCTCAGCAACACATAAAAATAAATAAGATAAAGGTATTTTGTCCAACTACAATTAAAATATATTTTAAAAGATTATGGGAAATACTTAATTATAGGGTTGCTTATCTGTTCTGGCTTATAGGTTGCTTATCTGTTATAGATTCAAACTGGCCCTTTGAAATATCAAGCCCCTCCCTTCATGAGGATACAATTCTATTTTTGTATCCTGTGGTATTATCTCTCTGTTCACTTTTTCATCTAACGATAGTTCTGGGGGCTGGGGATGTGGCTCAAGCTGTAGTGCGCTCGCCTGGCATGCGTGCGGCCCGGGTTCGATCCTCAGCACCACATACAAACAAAGATGTTGTGTCTGCCGAAAACTAAAAAATAAATATTAAAAAAATAATAAAGATAGTTCTGATGCTCCTTGAGTCTCTAGCTGAAGAATTCTTACTTCCAGTGTCTATGGACCAGATGGTCATATCTAGTTAGAAGCCTAGAATTTCCTGAAGTACTGGGTGGTGGCTCATTCAATTGTTCTTTAACCTTGAGAACACCAGGAGGTATTCTATCCTGTTTGGTTGGTTGCAGTAATTACCTTTTCCTCTTTTCCTATAGAAGTCCACATGTTGAGGGTGGTCCTGTGACTGGGTCTTGAGGAGTACTTGCTTTTCATGCCCTCTTGGATGAGTTTGACTTGTCAAACACTAAGGAATGTGGTATCCAGCCCTGAAGGAGGTCTGGTTGAAGACAGGGTTTGAGAATCAAACTTTTATATTATTTTTCCTGACAGACATGAAAATATTTCTAAAAGCTGAAAACAGAAGTGGATCCCAGAGATTATAGAGAAAACTTATAGACCCGGAAAAAGTTGATGTTTTCCTTTTAAAATACCCTCATGAAATTTATTTTGTGTTTTAAATGAGATAGGTGAATTTTCTACTAGGCAATTATTTTTCCTTAACTAAATGACCACGTAGTATATTCTTTCCTTACTGATCATGTTATTTGCAATTCCACACATATATGCATCTGTTTAAGTCTGTGAAGGAATCCATTTTTCTATTCCTGTGGCAAATGTTTTGAAACTGTTACATATTCAGTGGAATGTTCCTAAAGGTATAGGAAATTTTTTTTTAAATTTAAAAAACATATCTGTGCAACAACTACCCATGATAAGTTTCTTAGGCATCCCCTCTTCTTTGCTCCTGTTACATACCCAGAAAATGCCCTAGAGCTTGTGTTGCCTGACTGTTTGATAGTTATTCCGTTGATGTCTTTAAATTTTACACAGATTTCCCTAGGTGATATGCTTTTTTAAAATTGCCAGATTCTGAGTTTTCTATAAGTAGTATTGTACTGTATGAATTTTTGTTATGGCTACGTTTTGTAATACGGTCATTTAACTACAAAAGTTGGCTTACGGATTTGAGTTTTGTCGCCCTGACTTAACAAGTACCTGTTTGGTCCTTGATAGGAGAGAGCACACAGATCAGTGTGGAGTGCAGGAATAAAGACTTGGCATCCCCAGCCCTCTTGCCATCGGCATCCATACTTCAGAGCCCTTTCTCATCTCAAACATCCTGCCTTGCTTCACCGCCCTCGGCCTTTATATTGAGCATCTCCTTGACTTGCAAACTTTGGGAGCACATGATTGGTGTTCTATGTTGGTCCTGAAGAGCCTATTCAAGTCCTTGAGAAAGACAGACTGAACTAGCAGCTTTTCAGGGAAACTGAAACTAGCCCGTCTGCAATACGGACAATGTCGGGACGGTCGGTTGGTTCTTGATCCAGAGGTCTCCTTTTCTTCCTCGGCCACCAGGCCCGCCTCCTTCCAGTTTAACGCCGTGGAACTACGTTACCCAGAAGGCTCTGCGCCGAGCCAGGCGTTTCCGGCGCCGGAGCGGTACTTCCGGCGTCGTGTGGGGCGACTGTTTTCGCTCCTCTGGGTCCGCGCTGTCGGTCAGGGGAGCGCTGGCTCTGATGAGGTGTCGGGGGGCGGGAGGACCGTACAGGAGGAAGTCTTTGTCCCCTGTCAGAGCCCTGGGGCACGGCGACGCCGCCGTGAGCGCGCCCGCCCGGAGGGAGTCGGATGGCGGCGGCCGCAGCGCGGGTGAGCTGCGCGTGCTGGGCCCGGGTCGGCTCCGCGTGCGGAGGGCGGGCGGCCGGCCTCTGGGAGTGCGGGCCACAGCGCGAGGGAATGAGTCCCCGCGGAGGGTTGTGAGCAGACAGGGACGCCCGGGGGAAGAGGCCGCTGCGGGCCGATGGGGTGCGGAGGAGGCGAGCGGTAGGTACGTTCGGTGGGCAGATGGCGGGTGCTGGAGGGACCTGGCCCAGGGCTGGCCGTGGGCAGGGGAGCAGCGATCAGAGTCCTGGGGGATTCCCTCGTGTGTGTCAGGGGTCTGAAAGAAAGTGGGGGAAGGGCCATCTCAGCTTTCTGTTTGTATATATTTTTCTTTGTTTCCTGAATAACTGGCACATGGACATGGGAGAGTTTTTGCAGGGAGCAGGTTTCAGGGAGATGAGGACTTAGGCTTTGGACACGATGGTCCCGAGATGTCCCAGAACCGGGATGGGAGCATCACCTGGGCAGCTTGCTCCTTCACAACTGGAGTTCTGGAGAGGGACTAAGAGGTGTTCAGTGGAGGCCTGAACCAGAGCCGGGCCTGGAGCTTATATTCAGGAGAGGAAATCTTACGTTTTTATTTCAGACCGTCCCTGAGATGAGGGAGGGCAGAGGTAGGCCTGGTGGGTAGGGCTGCCTTCTTAGGGGTAGAGTCCTGCGGTCTGAAGTGGTTCTGGTTGGCGTCTGTAAGAGTGGAAGTATACAGTATCAGGAGTCAGGACTGAAATGGAGAACAAAGTGTTGGACGGTATAGATTTGTCACTCCAGGCTCAGCATGCCTTAAGTGGCTACTCCCTGTGGAGAAGAGGAAAGTTTGTGGGGCTGATAGAGTATCCCTTTTGGTGCCTGAGTTCCCCCTACCTTAAGGGCAGAAGGGTTGATCACCTGCCCCAATGGAAGGACCTCCCCCCCCAGCAGAATTGCCTACTAGAGGGTTTATAACAGGCAGCTAGGTTGCCAAACCTACCCATTTGGTTTCCTCAGGCTCAGGTCCTATATTTATTGACTTTTTTGAATTTATGAAATGGGTACTTATTTAAGCACTAATTGATCAAAATTCATACTTACACATGGGGCAGTTAAAACAGCATGGACTGTAAGCACTTAATACTTGGTTGAAAATTTAATATGGTGTTCAGCATTTGACTAAAATCAAGTGTCTTGCTGGGAATGGTGGCAAACATCTGTGATCTCAGCTAATCCAGAGGCTGAGGCAGGAGGATCCCAAGTTCAAGGCTATCCTTGATCACTTAGACCCTGTCTAAAAATTTAAAAAAAAAAAATGACTGGGGATGTAATTCAGTGGTAGAGCACCCCTGGATTCAATCTCCAATGTGAAAACAAAAACTCAAATAATAAAAACACAATCAACTAATGTCCTAATTAATGTTTTAAATATCAAATTCTTATTTCAAAGGTGTATTTAAAAAACATCCTACATTACCAAAACCTTCTACATTATCAAAACCTACCAGTTTGTTTGCACTGAAACTATTGATAGTAGCATTATGTGCACAATAGAGTACTTGACACATATGAATGAGTTTGATTCAAATAATCAATACTCCTATTGGATGGGCACCATTATTATTCCTATATTACAGGTGACAACATTGATGCTTAGGAAGGTTGGATACTTGTCCAAGGGCACTTAGCTGGTAAGAAACCATAAGACTTAGGCCCCAGATGGTAGATGGTTAGGCACACCTGACTCCAGGATATGTAAGGGAACTTGAAAGGTCCTTTGAGATGCCAGTATTATTACCTGCTTCTCACATCCTTGCTTTTCCATAGGTTCCTATGGCTGTAGAATCACTTACAGATGATGAAGAGGTAAGTGTAGGTACCCCAGGTCTCACCCTCTTCAGTTCCCACCTCTATGGTTTCTGGGACTGTACTGTCCTGGGACTCTTCTAACCTTCTCTCTGCATTCCCTGAAAGGTGGTCATGTGGTATCAGGGCCTGAGTCCAGATCAGGGATTATGTGGAGAGGTTCCCATTCCTGGAAACCATTGGCATGAGAGTCAGAAGTTATTAAGACTATAGTGATCAATATTAGAAAATGCTTTGAGCTGAGAATTTTCTAGGAGTGCTCAGGCAAAGCTAGTTTTTCATTATGTTGGGTGGCATGTTCGGAGGCAGGAGCTGGGCATCTATTCTAAGATGTAAAGGAGGTATAGTGCAAAGAGTGATACGCATGTCTGGAGAGTGTATATGGATGGCCCTAAGGTCCTTGTACTGAGGGCATAAGGGACAAGTGACCCAAATCTGGCCATATTTGAGAAGCATGATCTGGAGGATTGCAGTAAATTATTTGGCAGGACAAGGACAGGACTCTGCACATCTAGCCCAGAGATCAGATGGACTCTATCCACATGTCTCTTATTGCCCTGTGCCAAAGACTGTGGTCAGTGGAAACTTGAGAGACTGGGCATCCATGGCTCCAGAGCCTGATATCTCCCTTGAGGTAGGGGGTAAGGAAAGAGTAAGTAGAAGTGGATTTGGTGGAGAATACTGAGAGTTCCAGGAAAGGAGGCTACATATAAACTCAATTCTTCCCATGTGACAGGGTTATGTGACCTTTGAGGATGTGGCTGTCTACTTCTCACGGGAGGAATGGAGACTGCTTGATAATGCTCAGAGACTCCTGTACCGTGAAGTGATGATGGAAAACTTTACACTTGTGATCTCTCTGGGTAAGGTCTTTCTCACCATCACAGCATCCTGCGCAGAGCTTTCCTAAAGGCAGCTGTATCCTAGGTCATGGACACTGCTGCTTTCTTCAGTCATCTGGAGTAGGTATTGTAGGTAGTAGGTCTGGGCTGGTACATTACCACGTTCTCTCCACAAACTGTCCCAAAGCCATGCAGGGAAGGACTTGAGGATCAGGAGTCTTGTAGTCAGCCTAATGGCTCTCACCCTGTTGGCCTCTCAATGGCCTGGTGATGCTGTGTAAATCCAGGCAGTTCTGTGTCCCAGGTTCTGTCCTCTTCCTCTAGCTGACTGACCTGAGGTCTGCCTGTGCCAGGAACTGAGGCCATGATGTGGTCACAACTCTCCTGGGTTGTTTGCAAGACATTCCTCCAAGATTCTTTTTGTATTAGTTTTCTTTCCTGGGGTTAGTTGTGAAATGGGTTCTCTGGTCCAGCGTTGGTCACTTACCTGTCCTGTCTTTTCCTTAGGACTTGTATTTTCTAGGACATGTGAAATCACTCAGCTGAAGTCATAGGAGATCCCTCCATTCCTGCACAGGGAGTTATGACTCCAGCTATGCTGAAGGGTATTTGGTGGGTAGAGCTGAGGAAGATGTGAACTCAGGGATGGGGTCATATCAAGACTCTTTTAGTGCTTCTGATATTTTGGTGGCTAAGGCATGGGTAACTTCCATCTTCTACATTTTCCTGCTTAACATTTCAGTTATTTTTGACCCGGGGCTATCCCCCACCTCTCTTTCATATTTTACCCATTCTTCTGTAGCATTTGCCAGCAAAGGCTTTTGCTGAATGTGTTGTGAGGTGAGCATTTATCTGAGTAGTCCCTGGACACAGACTCTCCAAGTGCAGTCAGTCTGGGGGGATTTGGACATACCCTATGGACTGTGTTCCATGTCTACAGCAGTTGAGGCCTCACAGAAAGCTGTTCGCAGGCATCCTACCTGTGCTGTACCCCATTCTATGTCATTGATACCCAGGAGACCTCCCCAACATGTGAGTTTGCCAGGCTCAGAAGTTCACAGTGAACTCCTTCCTGCCTGACCTAGCCCCCTCATTCTCCCAGAAATACCAGGGACTCTTTACTGCGATACCTGACACACATTTGTGAGTGTGCTGCTCCTCCCACTAGAGTCATGCTCTTCATCAGCATCTTTCTGCCTTCAGGTTGTTGGCATAGAGCAGAGACTGTGGCGCCTTCTTCTGAACAGAGTGTTTCCACAGAAGGAGTGCAAAGTGAAAACCGTCACCAACATCAGAAGCTGTGCTGTGGAGAGAAACCCTTAATAAGAGAAGAGGACAGGGTCTCGGTTTTGAGGGGCTGCAGAATCCACCTGTCAGAGAAGCCTTTGCAAAGCAGGAAGGATGGGAATGATTTTACACTCAGCTCAAGTCTCCAGAAGACTCACCGTAAAGCAGAGCCTCCCAGGAGCACTGGGACTGCAGAGGCCGTTAATTCTGGGAAAAGGCACTACCAATGCAGTGAGTGCGGGAAAGCTTTCGGTCAGAAATATTTGCTTGTTCAGCACCAGAGACTACACACTGGAGAAAAGCCTTATGAATGTAGTGAATGTGGAAAGCTATTCAGCCATAAATCCAACCTTTTTATACACCAAATAGTTCACACCGGAGAAAGACCTTATGGGTGCAGTGAATGTGGAAAATCCTTTAGCCGAAATGCTGACCTCATTCAACACCGCAGAGTTCACACTGGTGAAAAACCTTTTACATGTAGTGAATGTGGAAAGGCTTTCAGGCATAATTCCACACTTGTTCAGCATCACAGAATCCACACTGGAGTAAGGCCTTATGAATGTGGTGAATGTGGGAAGTTCTTCAGTTTCAACTCCAGCCTCATGAAGCATCAGAGAGTTCACACTGGAGAAAGACCTTATAAGTGCAGTGAATGTGGGAAATTCTATAGCCACAAGTCCAGTCTAATTAATCACTGGCGAGTTCATACTGGGGAAAGACCTTATGAGTGCAGTAAATGTGGGAAGTTTTTTAGCCAAAGCTCAAGTCTCATGCAACATCAAAAAGTTCATACTGGAGAAAAGCCTTTTAAGTGCAATGAATGTGGAAAATTCTTTAGTGAAAATTCCAGCCTAGTTAAACATCAGAGAGTTCACACTGGAGCAAAGCCTTATGAGTGTAGAGAATGTGGGAAATTTTTTCGCCACAGCTCCAGCCTTGTTAAACATCGGCGGATTCACACTGGAGAAATGCCTTATGAGTGCAATGATTGTGGGAAATCGTTTAGCCAGCGTTTCAACCTCATTCAGCACCAGAAAGTTCACATTAGAGAACAGTCTTGATGCTTTAAATGTGGGTAAACCTTTATCCACACCTCCCACCTTTCCACAACCCTGGAGAGGACACAAAACTAAGAGGCATTACGAATGCAGTTAGTGTGGAAAAGGTCTGTTCTGACTCAGTGGCATAAACATCACAGCCCAAATAAATCTTATCAACACAGTGAATGTGGAGGAAGTCTTAAGCCAGTGGTGTAAACTTATTCCACACCAGGAAGTTCAAACTGGAGAAAGACCTTAGTAGTGACTTAACAGAGAAGTACCAGGGACTGAATATCACTCATTCCAGACATGCACACTGAGAGAAGGATGAAAATTGCTGCCACCATGCTTCTCCCAAGATATGGTCCTCTGCCTGTAGGCTCTAGAGAGAAGAGGAACTTGTACTCTTGGCCACACAAGGTGGAGTTTCCATCTAACTAAGCAAGGAGGCAGGGAGGAACAGAATGTCTTGGTTCAAGGAAGACTGACTCTTGCTCTTCGTACTGAATGTTAGATTTTCCTAAATAAATATTTCATGTATACCTTGAGGACCATTTTCAGAAGACTCTCAATTGTATCTTTTATATTTCATCAGGTTTCCTGGGAACATGTCAGTAATATTCTTCACACTCTCATGTTAGAAGTTAGTCCAAATATTTAAGTTTTTAAGAGCCTGTCAAATGGTTATTTGTTTTCACATCTCCTCCAAGAATATATCACATTATCAGTTCTTCATATCCTTCCTGACACTTTCTAATTCATGGACTATTCATTTTAGTCATACTAGTAGGTATGCAGTAGTATTTTGTTGGTTTTTAATTTCTTCTCCCCTAATGGGTCAGTGTTGCATTTTTTCATGTGTGTCGTCTATATACCTTGAGTGAAATGTCTGTTCATTTTTTTTGTCTGTTTAAAAATTACTTGTGTTTTTATGATTGTTTTGAAATTTTATTAATATTTTTGGATGCAAGTATTGCCTATATTTTCTCACAATCTTTGACTTTTGTATTTATTTAACAGTATCTTTCCTAGGGCAGAATTGCTTAATTTTCATGAAGTCAAATTTATCCATGCATTCCATTATTGTGTACTGGTACTTCATTCTCTTTCTTTTACTATACTGTATCTTTGCCTTTAAGTATTCATTCTTGTAAAATATTTGTACATTTAAGTCCAGATGAAGAATTTATGTAGAAATGTTTACATGTGCACATATCCTCTATTCTAAAACAACCTAGCAAGCAATTACATTCCAGTAATTATAGGCGTATTTAATATCCAGTTATTAGTTTGAAATATATATAAATATATATATATGTACTGGGGATTGAACTCAGGGGCACTTGCCCACTGATCCACATTCCCAGCCCTATTTTGTATTTTATTTAGAGACAGGATTTCACTGAGTTGCTTAGTGCCTCGCATTTGCAGAGGCTGGCTTTTAAGTCTCATCCTCCTGCCCTAGCCATCCAAGCTGCTGGGATTACAGGAATGCACCATTTTGCCCAGCTTGAAATATAATTTTTATTTAATTATTTATTTTTAAATATTTTTTTTAGTTGTAGATGGACACAATACCTTTATTTATTTATATGTGGTGCTGAGGATTGAACCCAAGGCCTCACACATGCTAGGCAAGCACTCTATCACTGAGCCACAACCCCAGCTCTGAAATATAATTTTTAAATTAAAACTGTGTCCCTTAGGGAAGAGGTTATTTTCAGGATTGGGCAGGAAATGTACAACATGAGCTTAGACATATTTTTGCATATTAGAAAGTAATGTAAATAGAATGTTATTTATGTATTTTCTATTGCTGTCCTTATAAAGTATAACTTAAGCAACACAAACTCATTATCTAACAGTTCTGAGGGTCATAAGTACAACACAACACAGATTTCACTGGGATAAAATCAAAGTATTACAGAATTGTATTCCTTTCTGAAGTCTCTAAAATTTGTTTCTTGCTCATTTTAATTATTGGCATATTTCAGTTCTTCATGGTTATAAAATGAGATCTGGACTTTCTCATGACCTATGAAGAATGGGGAGCTATAACCTAGATTAAACATAAGCATAAACTTAGATGTGCCAGTGCTTCTCTGGCCTTCTGTAAAGACAATAACATCTTGACTATGGGATAATGTGTCCACATTTACAACTCATGAGCAGAGGAGTCTCCTTAAAGCCATCAGAGGGAATTTTGTTTTGTTTTTGGTACCACGTATTAAACTCATAGGTGCTTTACCACAGAGTTACATCCCCAGCTCTTTTTATTTTTCATTTTGAGATAGGGTCTCACTAGTTGTTTAGGGCCTTGTTTAGTTGCTGAGATTGGTTTTAAACTTGTAATCCTCCTGCTTTAGCCTCCTGAGCCACTGGGATTACAGAAGTATAACACCATCACTTTATGTGACTCCAACTTCACCCTCTGTCTACTTTAATATAGTTTCACATTTATATTCAAAATGTGAGTGGAAAATAAAGACCTATAAAAATGGAGTATTACACTTTAATAATGGTAAAATGTTCATAATCTAGGGGCTGAAGGTGTGGTTCAGTGGAAGAACACTTGCCTAGCATGTGTGTGCCCCTGGGTTTAAGTCCCACACCATACCAAGAAATGTTAATGTTAATATAAAAATGAGTTTAAAAATCATGTTATACAACCAGTAAATGTAATTGTAATGAGCATAAATATATGGTTTTAATATTTAATGGCATTTTCAACTGGTGATTTTGGTTGATTTTTAAAACCTTTATTCTAGAAAAGCCTTTTAAGTGCAATGAATGTGGAAAATTCTTTAGTGAAAATTCCAGCCTAGTTAAACATCAGAGAGTTCACACTGGAGCAAAGCCTTATGAGTGTAGAGAATGTGGGAAATTTTTTCGCCACAGCTCCAGCCTTGTTAAACATCGGCGGATTCACACTGGAGAAATGCCTTATGAGTGCAATGATTGTGGGAAATCGTTTAGCCAGCGTTTCAACCTCATTCAGCACCAGAAAGTTCACATTAGAGAACAGTCTTGATGCTTTAAATGTGGGTAAACCTTTATCCACACCTCCCACCTTTCCACAACCCTGGAGAGGACACAAAACTAAGAGGCATTACGAATGCAGTTAGTGTGGAAAAGGTCTGTTCTGACTCAGTGGCATAAACATCACAGCCCAAATAAATCTTATCAACACAGTGAATGTGGAGGAAGTCTTAAGCCAGTGGTGTAAACTTATTCCACACCAGGAAGTTCAAACTGGAGAAAGACCTTAGTAGTGACTTAACAGAGAAGTACCAGGGACTGAATATCACTCATTCCAGACATGCACACTGAGAGAAGGATGAAAATTGCTGCCACCATGCTTCTCCCAAGATATGGTCCTCTGCCTGTAGGCTCTAGAGAGAAGAGGAACTTGTACTCTTGGCCACACAAGGTGGAGTTTCCATCTAACTAAGCAAGGAGGCAGGGAGGAACAGAATGTCTTGGTTCAAGGAAGACTGACTCTTGCTCTTCGTACTGAATGTTAGATTTTCCTAAATAAATATTTCATGTATACCTTGAGGACCATTTTCAGAAGACTCTCAATTGTATCTTTTATATTTCATCAGGTTTCCTGGGAACATGTCAGTAATATTCTTCACACTCTCATGTTAGAAGTTAGTCCAAATATTTAAGTTTTTAAGAGCCTGTCAAATGGTTATTTGTTTTCACATCTCCTCCAAGAATATATCACATTATCAGTTCTTCATATCCTTCCTGACACTTTCTAATTCATGGACTATTCATTTTAGTCATACTAGTAGGTATGCAGTAGTATTTTGTTGGTTTTTAATTTCTTCTCCCCTAATGGGTCAGTGTTGC